TAATAATGATACAGCTAGTCTATGAACTGTTTACCTATTCTCTCTTCAGTATGAAATTCTTTCAGTTGCAGGTTTGTTACTAGGTTCTCCATCTATACGGCAACTGGACACAGACTCACTGCAGGTAGCCACTGCTGGATCTTTGTGCTTATGATGAAGTGTAAATAAGATAAGAGGAAGAGGGAAACAGGTCGAACCCTTAGTCAAAGGACTGAGGATTTCAACTAGCTGATATTTTGTTATCATTTGCCCTGAAAGGTGACTGCAACAGAAGAGAGCTATCTGCTATAGTCTGCCTGTTTAAGAAAGTCCAGTCTCTTTCCATATCAAGTCCATTCTGAGTTGATCACTTAACTGAATATTTATCACTGAGTCCCTATATGCCAGTTCATATTTAAATCCATCATTTGTTAATGATTGCTATTATTGTGTCTGTAATAACTGATTGCTATTATCAAGAAGAGGATGACACTGGGTTGACCACTTAACTGAATATTTATCACCGAGTCCCTATATGCCAGTTTATATTTAAATCCATCATTTGTTAACTGATTGCTATTATCAAGGAGAAGAGGATGACAGAGGATGAGATGGTTGGATGGCATCACTGACTTGATGGACATGAGTCTGAGCAAGCTCCGGGAGTTAGTGATGGACAGGGAAGCCTGGCGTGCTGCAGTCCATGGGGTCGCAAAGATCGGACGCGACTGGGCGACTGAACCGATTATCATGTCTACTGTAAATCAACATTAAGTAGTTTCCATACACGGGTTTGTTAGTATCTTATTCATTGTTCGTGGAACTGGAAAGCGATGGACATCGAGCAGTGCCCCCTCTTTTATTCAACTGCAGGTAGTCTCCACTGGTCTCTGCTGGATGTTCAGGGTTCTGCTCACAGCACGGCCTCATCCTCCCTTAGACTAGACTTCCGGGCTGACTGTCATCATCACAATGCCAACATACACTGCATACTTTTCATGTTGAGATATTGTGTAACTATCAATAAGACATGTATACTCCACATGAATGACCTCACTCAATTCTACAGTTATTATCATTGTTATCTCCATTTTACAGTTGAGTCAGAGAAGCTTCTTGCCCACAGATCACAAAACTAGAGAGGGTTGCAGCTGGAATCTACACCGTGTCTGTGTGACTCCAAATTTTGAGCCCTCAAGAGCTCCACATTTACACTTCTCCCTGACTAGGACATGGGGGAAAAAAAAAAAACTTCATTTCTACCAGTTTCCCTAAAATGGGGGCCCAATGAATGGCTCTCTCTTCGGGCAGGTTACAGGTCATTCACCAAATTACAAGAACATAAATTTAGTCTGAAGTGAATGATAATGACCTGAATGTTGTGACTAAGCAATTGTCTAAATCAGTTTCAGGAAAAACTGAGCTGCTTTGTAAGAGAAAGCAGTTGGTGTGAGGAAATATAGGTCTCTCCTGTTTTATTCTTTTCTGTGTGCCATTGGGTACGTCACTTAGCTTCTCTTTGCTTCTGTTTCTAGAGTTGGACTGGATACGTTTAAGACATGTTTTTTAAACTGCATCTTACAAGTCATTAGTGGAATATGAAATCAATTTAGTGAACCACAATCATTATATTTTAAGAAGTCAAACAGGATAGAAGAGAAGAGCATTAATATATTTTCAGTATTAAAATTGTGGAAAATAAGAAAGTTACTCACATGTAGTAAGGTAAGTATTTTTGATCAATCTTTTGTCGCAAGCGCGTGGGGGGTATATGTGTGTGTGTTAGAACGCAATGTAAAATATATTTCTTATGGAGGATTATACTAAAAAAAGCTTGAATGACAATTGACTATGGTTTCCCCTACCTCAAATTGAAGGACTCCATCCAATAGTTATACTTTAGTAACACTCAAATTTACAGATTATAAGTCACTATACTTTATTAGTAGCCATCTCACTGGCAAAATTCAACAAAAAAAAAAAAAGAGAGAGAAAGAAAGAAAAGAGAAAGAGGGTCAAATAAAATCTAATAATGTTTAGTGTCTCTTTAATACCCCAAATTCTTTCCCTGGTAACTAAGAAGCTAAACGTACTCTGATTGTCAAATAATGTTTTCCCTCCTGGATTCATGACTATCATATTTTCTCTTTTAACATATTTCCAAAAGTGATATTTGTTCCCTTCCTGTTTAACATGATTCCGTGAATGATAAGAAACCAAAGTAACACAACTAGTCTCATGATATCAGCTCTGCATATCATAATTTGTCAATATTGAGGCAAAATCCTTACGAGATACTTGGTATATTCTTCTGATCTCATCTGCTTTGAAGCTACACTTCTCTTGTTTGCTTCAATATGACAATTTAGTGTAAAAACATAACCACTTAGTCACCTAAGTAAAACCTGTCACATTCACCTCTTTACCCACCTATTTCTTTATGCTTCTCTGAGCAAAAGTCTATTTGAGCAGGAACGAGATTAGACTGTGGCAGTCAATCTGGTAGATTGCCAATGGCTTTCTCTGAGCATCTCCACAACGAACCCCTAGAGCATTAATGTTCTCCACAATGATTCCTTCCCAGCACAAAGGAAATATTAGGTCTTGAGAAGGACAATTAAAATGCTATTTCTAGAAAAGCAGCAGTTTCCAAAAAATCCTGAGGAACTTTTAAAAATTCTAATTTGGTAGGTCTCAGATAGGGCTTAGAAATCTGTATATAATTAATGATGGACGGCGCACATACAAGAGCTTCCTAGGTGGTAGAGTGGTAAAGAATCTGCCTGCCAATACAGGGGATGCCAGAGACACAGATTCAATCCTTAGGTTGGAAAGATCCTCTGGAGTAGAAAATGGCAGCCCACTCCAGTATCCCTGCCTAGAGAATCCAACAGACAGAGAAGCCTGATGGACTGCAGTTCATGGGGTTGCAAAGAGTCAGACACAACTGAGCACGCACACACAGAAGCATACATACAAAAACTGTAAAAATTGTTAAGTATTCAGGAGTTTTCACATAGTGAACTTATGATAACTAGGTAACCAATCATATCAGGAAGTAGAACAACCCAACATACCAGAATCCCTTTCATGTCTTTTTCCCCAGACTCTACCTCTTTTCCACAGGTGAGCCAATATCTTGACACTAAACAATATAGATTATGTATCTGCCTTTCTTTGCTCAACATCCTGTTTGTGAAATTTAGTTTGGCACTATATTTTGGTTTGTTCATTCTTTCCAATTAAGGGCCATTACAAACAGTGCTGCAATAAATTCTTGTATGTCTGTTGGTACATGTGGATACGCATTTCTGCTGTGTCCTTGAAAGTGTGCTAGTCACTCGGTCGTGTCTGACTCTCTGCAATCCCATGGACTGTAGCCCGCCAGGCTCCTCTGTCCATGGAATTCTCCCGGAGTGGGTAGCCATTCCCTTCTCCAGAGGATCTTCCCAATCCAGGGATCGAACCTGGGTATCCCCCACTGCGGGCAGATTCTTTACAGTTTGAGCCACCAGGAAAGCCCACATTTCTGCTAAGTAAATATTAATATATAGGAATGGAATTGCTGGGTCTGGGGGGAGCGTTCTCACAAGATGATGACCATGCTGGCACCCTGATCTCAAACTTCCAGTCAACAGAACTGTGAGAAAAGAAATTCCTGTTTTTTAAGCCACCCATTTTTGTGGCATTTCACTATAGCAGCCCAAGCCTATAGGGTTTGAATGTCATTTTAATAATTTAATTAGGTTCTAAAAGATAACTGAAAGTTAACTTTCAGAAGGATAACTTAGCCAACTATTTCAAAGTATTTGTTTACTTATTTCTAGGGAAAAAGCATTTCATTTCTGTCTTCACCCAAGAGACAATTTCTTCAAAGGTATGTTTAGGTTAGTCCAAATCCATAGTTCCAATACCCAGCATTGGCAATAACAGTGGTTGAAGTAGGCTACAGCTCCTGCAAATGAATGATTCTATACATAAAAATTGAAAATGATGACTAAACAAGCTTATGACTCAAATACTAGAGGGAGATTTCAGAACAATACTGATAGTATAATTTTTTTTTTACAATAAGTCTAATTACCTATCTATGGAGATCCATATGCTCATACCTATAAACAGGAAAAGAAAAGGCCTAAAGGGAAGAGTCTCATATATGTCAATAGGACTGGAAACTGGTTAACCTTTTGTAGAAGGCAATTTGACCAACAGCTTTAAAATTTTAAATGCATGTGCTCTTTGACACAAGGATTATTCTTACAGACGTATTAATACATGAACCTAATCACAAAAGTACAAAGATGTCAACTGCAGCTTTCCTAGAAATTTTTAAAAGAATGAACATGTATTCCTTTCATTAAATTGTTTTAATTTTTTATGCATTCCTTTTAAATTAGAAAACAGAATAAATACCATTTTTAATGAAATGAATAAACCCAACATCTTCCCCTTCAAAAGCCTAGAAAGTAGACATACTCTGGGAAAGCATCTACCTTTGGAACTGGCTAGTGACCTTTAATAATTTATAATGACACTTTACTTATAAAAAGCTATTTAAAATATGTGATCATTCAGAGATGGCATGTGATTCTTAGGTTATGAAAACTGATATAACTTCTCTCAGTTTTCTACCTCACAATAGTAAGTGAATCTAATCTTAAATTAGCCTTTTTAAGCAGTTATTCAAATTAAAGAGTATTCATTTTCAAATGAGTATTACATTATGCTGATGGTATAAACTGCACACTTTTCCTTAATTTACTAATATTTATTAAGTAATGAGTCTTAATCCCAACACAAATAATAATCCCAACACCATTATTATTACTTAATAATAATATATATGAATAGACTATTTGAATTATATGAATAGACTATTTTTATGACTTATATGAATAGACTTTTTTCCCAAGAGATGTACATATAGTTATTAATCAGATAACCCCATTATATTATGAAATCACCTGTGGAGAAGTGTGTTAAGAACCAGAAAATAAAGAGCTTATGACTCCAGCACTTACTTGCTTTGCTTCAGGGTTTGGAGCTCAGTCAGAAACACCCATGAGATTTTTTGACTTCTGAGTTAGGCAACTCCAACTCCAAAAGCTGATGTTAGGTTCCAACTTTTCCTTGGAGCTCACTGTGAGTGAACTTTGTCAGGTGATGGGTTTGCCAGTCTCAGCAGAGTTCCAGTCTGCATGTAGAGAAGCATAGGGTGTTTTGAGCAGAATTTCCTAACAAGGATATTGCTGCATATTCTGCCATGTGGTTATTTGAAGGATGAAGCAATGACATCCTCCAAAGTGGCATCTCCTTTTTTTCCCCCTTTTTTACTTAGAAATTGCCTTTAGTGCTAGTAAGAGTGAATTTCCCAAAGACAGAAAGCAATCTAAAGTGACAAATAATTGGAAATTTTGAAATTTTCCTTTTTGTGGTCAGTAATCCCAACAGCTTTTTTCCCACTGGGGAGCCACTCATAACTCCTGAGCATTCATTCACTGGAATTTATCAGATTTGGAAATTCCCAGCTCCCATTCCTGTCAGGGATCCATTTCTTCACCACGCCAACTCTTAACCACAGAAGTCTGTGTTTAGAAGTGGGCAAGTTTTCTATTTTTCACATTTCAGGAGCAATAAGTCAAATACTCTGAAGAAAGACTATCGTCAGAAGATGACGAAGGAGTGGATGGCTTTTAGCATTACCTAATGAGATGTTCCGACTCTTCAGCAATAGCAGTATTGTACTTAAAAACATTTCCTTCCCATAAAATTTTAAACTAAAATTAGCTGGCTTACATTAGCAATTATCTAAACTTCTGTCTCTACATCCAACTTTACTCAACCTGTAAGGTTAACCATATCTGTCTACTTGCTGGAAAAAGAGTGAGTGAGAGAGAAAGAAGAAATGGCCAATTAATTACCAAGTGACTGAGAGCTACTATTTGTGTTTGGATTCAAATCTCTTTCATCTTTCAGGTATGAAATCCATCCTATTTCATCCCCAGAGAATAGGAAGCAGGCTTTTTGCTGAATTCTTTGGCAGGATTGGGGAGGTATCTTGTACTGTTGGATTAGCTGAGGGGGTTCCACGTGGGCAATCAAGCAGCACAGTTTAAATGACAGGGACTGAAAGAAATAGAGGAATAAGGGTGAAAGAAGGCTGCTGGGCAGTTGTGGGCTAGATGTTGGCTGTATTTCCTTGTTACATTCTGGCAAGCAGTGAGGCTGAATCCCTGCTCACCAACACTATGTAGTCCTTTACAGAGCTTCTATACAATAACTCATCTGGCTTTCTTGATACTCCTGTTTTAGAAATGGCCAGTATACATAGTAAAAACTATTTTATATCATATTCCATTAAATTTCTAGGCTTCAGGTTGAACTACTGGGATTCAAATGTTAATTCAGTCAGTTCCTGGCTGTGTGACTTTTAAGTTATGTGAAGTGAAATATTATGCCACTCACAGTAGGACAAATACTGCATGATTCGTTGTGTGAGGTACTGAAAATAGTCAATTTCATAGAACTATAGAATCAACTGGTGGTTGAGAGGAGGAAATGGGAAGATGCTAATCAGTGGGTATAAAGTTTCAGTTAAACAAGATGAATAAATCCTAGAGCTCTGCTATACAACATTTTATCTAAGGTAACAAACTGTATCATAAAATTAAAACTTTAAAAGGATGTATCTCATGCTAAGTGTTCTTACCACAATGAAACAAACTTTGAGAAAGATGTAAATGTAAAACATAATACTGTTAAAGCAAATATGAGTGAATATATTATCTTAGGGAGGGAAAGAACTTCCTAGGCCTGATAGCAAAGATGGAAGCCATACAAACACTACAAGTAAGAGCTAACATCAATTGAGGTTTTACTATGTGCTGGCCATGTACTGAGGACCTGAATTACCTTATTTAATCCTCAAATCAATCCTGTGAAGTACGTATGATTGTTATCACTCTTTCATGAATAAGAAAAACAAAGCACAGGAAAGTGAATACTGTCTATTGTCTTGCCAGAATCCTTTCTCCCCTTCATCGTTTCTAAGTGAATTCCAATTCTGTTCAGGTATCCTCATGGATAACTTGTGACCCCAGAGGTGAGCTAGTTAGTATAAGCCAATCAGTGATTGGTTCAGGAATGAGTACATGATTGACTGATATTTGGTATATCTTCAAGTTAACTGACTCTTTTTTTTTTTTTTTTTTTTAACTTCACAATTTTAACCTCTGAGCCACCAGGGAAGCCCACAAGGTAACTTCACAATTTTAAAGCAAAACAATGCAAAGTAAAAGCCATTTAAACATTTAAATAGAGAAAGTAGAACCAAGAATTCTGAAAGGCAGAAAAGGGGCAGCAGTAATGTCAACAACAGCTTCTACACAGGAAAGGCCCTCATTTCTCTAAGTGAAGTTGCTCAGTTGTGTCCAACTCTGCAACCCCATGGACTGTAGCCTACCAGGTTCCTCCATCCATGGAATTTTCTAGGCAAGGGTACTGGAGTGGGTTGGCATTTCCTTCTCCAGGGGATCTTCTCGACCCGGGGATCGAACCTGGGTCTCCCGCATTGCTGGCAGATGCTTTAACCTCTGAGCCACCAGGGAATCATTTCACTAAACCTCCTAGCAAAGCAAGGTTCCCCCAAACTACCATTAATTATATGAACAGGAGTCTAGAGTTTTTTCTTTTTCTTCAAGGCCCCTGACGAGATCTATGTTGTACTTTCCTGACTAAGGACTAGAGACTCAGGAACAAGAGCTGCCTGCCCAGGCAAACCCTCCCGGAAGGTTACTGGACTTGGGGCTGTTTGAAATCAGATAAACCCTTCCTGAGGTGGGACGTACCCGTGAGAAAACTGTGGCCATTTTGTCTTTGCTATTTCCCCTGTCACCCACCATCCCTACCTACCGTCCGCTACCTCCACGCCGCACCCTCGGGATGCACAAGGGGACACCCGGGACGGGAGCATCAGAACTCTCCACCCTGGGACGGGTGAAGGGAAGGGAAAGCTGGGCCCAGGCTCTGCACAACTGACATCACAGCTTCTCCCCGTCCTCCATTCCGTCATCGGGCGGGCTGTCTGTCTGGGGGAAACGCACCTGGCCTGCAAGAGAAGGGGGGCGGCACTCTCCTTTCCGCGCAGAAGGGAGTGACTGGGAAGAGGAGGTGCGGCGGGCAAAGGCTTCCTCCGCCCCGTGTGCAGGAGCGCGGTCAGGTCTTGCGGAAGGAGATGGGGCTGAAGAGCAAAACAGAACCTTGCTGAAGGGCTCCTGAGCTCGGGAATACGGAGATGGGATGTATTGCTCTTTTCTCTCCTAGCTCCCTGCTGCCCTTCCACAAGGAAAACTATGTTTGACATCCTGATTCTCTGGGAAAGGGGCCCAAATGCTCTGGACAGTAACAAAGAACGCTGTCCTTTCCCACCCCGCCTAGCGCACAGAGACCAGTCCCCGCCTCATCCCCTCAATGTGTGTGTGCCCGTGTTCGGGGCAGCCCTCGCTGTATACACAGAGGTGCCAAAGGTCAGCGCCTGAGGAAAATTCAAGAACCTCAGTTCTCTGTCTCAACTAGCTGCCTGGGGGTCCAAAGGCACTGTGTCCAGGGCTGGGAGTTGACCAAGTCCTCTGGTACACAGGGGGGCTCGACACCGCCTTCATCGAGGTCTCCTTGCCGGGCACTACTGACATCCTGAGTCAGCGGATTCTCTGGTAGGAAGCCAGGTCTCCCCTGGGCCCTGTAGGATGGGCGGCAGCACACAGCCTCACGCCCAGACACGGCCGTGAAAACGGCCTCCAGGGGACAAAGCACCTCTCCGAGAGTCACTGGTCCAAAGGCGAAGCAGCTGATGGTCCCCAGTGGGGAAGGAACCTAAGTGGATTCAGCAAGGTCACCAATGCAAGGGCTCTGAGCATGGCAACGACATGCGACAGGGAAGACGGGGGCCCTGAGACCCAGGGCAGAAAAGATCTTCAGGGAAGCAGAAAAGCAGGTGTTCCTGAAACGCTGTAGCTGGGGAAGACGCCTTCTCAGAGGGTGTGGTGCTGGCCTCAGCAGTGAGAAGAATTACAAGTCAGTAGGTCTGTTCCTCTGGAACTTGCCAGGGAAAACCTAGTCTTCATCCCACTGTGGATCAAAGATGGCTTCCAAAGGCTGTGGAACTGTCTCCTTGGTCAGCCGAGGTCAAGGCTCTGCTTCCGGAAGGGCAGAGGCAGGAAAAGCCGCTTCCACTGCCTACCTAGGGTTCTACTGTTCCTAGCCCCGCCCCTCCAAATTCCATAGGAAGTCTCTTCCAAAAAAGAAATTCACAAAATTAAAAGCTGTAAAGAGGTTAAAGCAAGCAGGTTCTGCTGTATGGAAAAGAGAAAAAGAACAATCTGGATGAGAAAAAGAAAGCATAAAATGTATGTGAAGGAGGTGGGATGCATGATCTAAGAGCTTTATAAAACAAAACATTCAAAGTCTGTGTATTCTTTCACACACCTCCCCACAAAACAGGTCCATTGCTAAATTCAGAAAGAAGGGCCCACGCAGGACCCCATCAATGTGCTAGCACCACATCTTTTTTTTTAAGAAATAAATTGTTAACTGACTCTTCTGCCATCTCTATTCTGCTGTTAATATTTCCAGTAAATTTTTATTTAAGATATTACATTTTTTAGTTCTAGCAGTTTCATTTTGCTTTATAATTTCTATTTTTCTATTGAGATTTTCTATTTGTTCTTCTATAATGAGCATATTTTTATTTATTTCTATTTGTTGTTATAATAGTTATAATAGCTACTTCTATTTTTTTAATTTTTTTTTCCATTTATTTTTATTAGTTGGAGGCTAATTACTTTACAATATTGTAGTGGTTTTTGTCATACATTGACATGAATCAGCCATGGATTTACATGTATTCCCCATCCCGATCCCCCCTCCCACCTCCCTCCCCACCCCATCTCTCTGGGTCTTCCCAGTGCACCAGGCCCGAGCACTTGTCTCATGTATCCAACCTGGGCTGGTGATCTGTTTCACCCTAGATAATATACATGTTTCGATGCTGTTCTCTAGAAACATCCCACCCTCGCCTTCTCCCACAGAGTTCAAAAGTCTGTTCTGTACATCTGTGTCTCTTTTATTGTTTTGCATATAGGGTTATCGTTACCATCTTTCTAAATACTATACTAACACACATATATGGAATTTAATAGCTACTTTTAAATATGTATTTTCCAAATCTAATGTCTGAGTTATTTGAAGGTTAGTCTCCATTGATTCTCTTTTTTTCTTGAGTATGGAATAAAGTTTTCCTATGTGGCTAAAAATTTTGGATTTTACGGACTTCCCTGGTGGTCCAATGGCTAACACTCGGTGCTCCCAATGCAGGGGGCCTGGGTTCAATTCCTGGTCAGGGAACTAGATTCCACATGTCTCAACTAAGAGTTTGCCACAATGAAGACTGAAGATCCCACATGCTGCAACTAGGAGTGCAGTCAAACAAATTAATCTTTTTTTTTTAATTTGGACTTTATATGGGCATTAAGAACACTGTACAGTTTCTTGATTCAGCTATATTCCTCTGAATTTTATTGATTTATTTATTTTCTCAATTAACTTAGCTGAGTGAAAGTCAGTCAGTCATGTCCGACTCTTTGCAACCCCATGGACTATAGAGTCCATGGAATTCTCCAGGCCAGAATACTGCAGTGGCTAGCCTTTACCTTCTCCAGGGGATCTTCCCAACCCAGGGATCAAATCCAGGTCTCCCACATTGCAGGTGGATTCTTTACCAGCTGAGCCACAAGGGAAGCCCAAGAATACTAGAGTGGGTAACCTATCCCTTCTTCAGGGGATTTTCCTGACCCAGGAATAGAACTGGGGTCTCCTGAATTGCGGGCAGATTCTTTACCAACTGAGCTATCAGGGAAGCCCTTAACTTAGATGAACTTCATGTCAAATCCGCCTCTCCTTCAGTGAACTGTAGTTAAAGTCTGTATTCAGTACTTCTAGCTTCAGCTTATCTGTTTGGAATCTACCTCAAGTGAAGAGAGTTGGCTGGATACATACGTTTAGATCTTAGGAGTTAGGTTTGGAGTGGGAACTGTAGCTAAAGTCTATATTCAGCACTTCTGGCTTTAGCTTATCTGTTTGGAATCTACCTCAAGTGAAGATGGTTGGATTATGTGTATTTAGATCTCAGGAGTGAGATCTGGAGTGGAGATGAAATGTTGAGAAGAATAAGCATTTAGATGACAGATGAAGACATTGGAGTAGATAAAATCACTCAAGCATAAAGTGAGAAGAAAGGGGGGGGTATAGTTTGTTTCACACCAACAACCAATTCTCCAACTCTTCAGACACCAACTGGGTGTCCAATGATTCAATTCAATGCTGACACTAAATACCCAGAGTTAACAGCTTAATGACTCAATCAGCCCCTGCTTCAGACACTAATTAGAGTCCCAGGCCTCCCCTACTTCTGACCAACTTGCTATAAATTGGTGATTCCCACTGAACTCCTCCTTAGGTTTGATAATTTACTACAAGGGCTCACAGAACTCAGGAAAGCATCTCATTTACTATTACTAGGTTATTGTAAAGAATATTATAGAGGATACAAACAGACAGCCAGATGAAAAGATACATAGGTTGAGGTTCAGGACAGCTCCTAGTACAGGAGTTTCTGTCCCCAGGGAGCTGGTGTGTGCCACCCTTCTGGCACATGGATGTGTTCACCAACCTGGAATCGCTCCAAACCCTATAGTTGAGGGGCTTTTGTAGAGGTTTCATTAAATAGGTACAATTGACTTGATCACCATTGGCCACTGGTGATTAACTCAATCACTTTCCCCTCCTCTTCTGGAGGGTCAGAGAGAGGTGGGGAGAGGCTTAAAATTCCAACCCTCTAAACATGTTTTAGTTTTTCTGGCATCAAATTTCCATTCTGAAGCTATCTAGAGGCCCCGAGCCACCAGTCATCCCATTAGCATGCAAAGACACTCATCCCTCTGTAGAAGTTCTTGTGCCAGTAACCAAAGACAAAAACCAAATAAATATTTATTATACCACAACATGTTCATGAACTGTAAAATGCAGTTATCATTAAGGCATCACCCCTCCCCAAACTATCAAGAGATTCAATGCAATCACTATCAAATTCCTACCAGGCTTATTTTTGTAGAAATTGTCTATCTAATTTCAAAATATATACACAAATGAAAAAAATTCTAGAAAAGCTAAGATAATCTTGAAGGAAAAAAAAAAGCAAAACAAAGTTGGAGGACTTCAACTACCAAATTTCAAACTTACTTAAAAAGCAACAGAAATACATTCTACCTGCTAATCTCCCTTACATGCAATTGAGGCCAATATACCTATTCCCCATAATACCAAGGTGTCTTTTATGCAGTGAAAGGACAGCAAATAGATATGTGCTAAATGCAAAGCCTTCCCAAAGATACAAACTGACTATATACCTTAGTGTCATCGTTTGGTCATATTGTCCATAGCAGAGACAGCCAAAGCAATAAGAAAGCTCTTGATCTCAGAAGAAAATGACTGGCCCAGCATAGACTGATTTTCGATTCTGTTTACCTTGATCCAGTATTTCCCCAAATGTATCATTTTTACAACTGTGCATCACAGGGAGGGAGGAAGGAAGGGAAGAAGGAGGGAAGACAGGTAAAATTTAACCAAATAAATTTGGAGATTGCTGATTTCAACAAACTTTGGTTTTATTTGTTGCAAGACATCCCAGAACCTTTAATATGCTAATGTGTATTATAAGACTATAAGATGCCAGACACTGGAATTTTGTGTTTGAGACCTTTTTTAAAATTAACTAGTGTTCAGTGGAACAATATACTTTGAGAAATGCTATCTCATGCCAACTCAGAAAAGTTACAAATATAAATTTATTATTTTTCTCTGACAAGAGAAAAGAACTATACTTCAAGCTTATTAGGGGAACCCTTATATTTTATTTTCTTGGGGTCCAAAATCACTGCACATGGTGACTGCACCCATGAAATTAAAAGACACTTGCTTCTTGGAAGAAAAGTTATGACCAACCTAGATAGCATATTAAAAAGCAGAGACATTACTTTGATGACAAAGTTCCATCTAGTCAAAGCTATGGTTTTTCCATATGGATGTGAGTTGGACTATAAAGAAAACTGTGTTGAATAATTGATGCTTCTGTACTGTGGTGTTGCAGAAGACTCTTCAAAGTCCCTTGGACTGCAAGGAGATCAA